ACTCACCCGCGCCCCAGCTGCTCCATGCTGAGGCGGAGGTCGGAGACGGGCGAGAGCTCGTCCTGGAAGAGCGCCTTGACCACGGCGGGCGAGGCGGGGGAGGCCGGGGAGGCGAGCGAGAGGCGGCGGCGGCGGAGGGCGGCGGGGGCGAGATCCATGGGGGCGAGATCCACGGGAGCGGCACCGGGACCGGGCAGCGGAGAGGGCAGCGCAGCGCTCCCGTCAGCGCGGCCGCCGCGGCGCTTTGGCCCCAGCCGGTACCCGTCGGCCTCTCCGAAGCTGGCGCCAAACGGCGGCTCAGCCAATCAGCGCGCGGCGCGCGAGGGGGGGCGGGTTGTTTTTTTTCAAACCCCCCCTCCCACCGCGCGCGCTCCCACCAGTAGGAACGGCCGAGCTGGGGGCGAGCCCCGCCCACCGCCCGTGATCGACGTGTCCCCGGGCCAATGGGAGGGCGGGACAGCCGGGGTGGAGGCGGGACTACATTCCCCGGCATCCCCAAGGGTCGGGACGCGTTGTCGCCCTGCGCGTTGCCCGCTGGGAAATGTAGTCCTCGGTCTCGCTGAGGCGCCGCTTTGCCGCCATGTTTCCGGCTGCGTCCCTTCAGCCGCAGATGTGAGGGGAAGGGGCGGGAAAACTGGGAAAAATGAGGGGAAGAAGGGCGAGAGTGTTGCCGTTTGCCTTAAAAATGGACACACACCCAGCTTTACGGCAGAGCCATTGCCTTGGCTTGTCCTGGGCTGAGAGGAAGGGGGGGAAATATGGAAAAAATGGGGACGGGAAAGGGTGAAAGGGAGAGTTGGGTTTACCCAAGTGTTGTCATTTGCCTTAAAAATGGACACACCCCCGGCTTTACAGCAGAGCCATTGCCTGGGCCTGTCTGGGCCTGCCCTGGGACTGAGGGAAAGGGGGAAAAATAAGAAAAAAAAAGAGGGGGAAAGGGCAAAAGTGAGCATGGCATTTACCCAAAGTACCATTTGCCTTAAAAATAGACACACATGGATCATGTTGGATCCAGGAGATCCCACTCCTCTGCCCAGGCCCTGTCGTCCACCAGGCACACGATGTTCCCAGTTCCTGGATTACACAGCGTGGTGTTTGCTCGTGCCCTGACCACCCAGGATCTCACAGATCCCCATCCCACTCCTGCTGCTCTCCCGGCCTCGAGAGGTTCTGGCTGTGTGCTCAGTCCAGCTCTCCAGTCTGCCCTGCCCCCTCCCTGAGCATTTTCCTCTCTAGAAACCGTTTTTACAGGGGTTTTCAGCCGCCACTATCAGGTCGTGTCTCCACCCTGACTTCCTGGGTGTGGGGTGGCTGCACCCTGCAACACATCACCCCGCACCAAGCCATGCCACAAGCCATGCAGCGCTGCTAAAAACCCGCATGGGCAATCAGAGCCTTCCCTGCTGTCACCATGGGATCCAGCCAGGACACCAGCATGCAGACACCCCCAGGCAGCACAGCACACCTTTAATGCTCCAAAGGACTCGGAAGGAGGAGATGCAGCACCGTGCAGAGCTGTGGTGAGTTTGCAGCACGGTGCTGTGTCACTGCCACGCTTCCTGCCCGCTCAGCCAGCCAAGGGCACGGCCAGGCACTGGGAGGCACCCCAGCCCATCAGTCACACAGGCGGATGAAGGTTGCTGCTGACCACAGCCAAAAATACGGGAAGACCCTCTCGGTGAAGGAGGTCTTGAACTGCAAGATCTGCACCATCTTCTCTGCGTTGTAGAAGGTCACTTGGCCCCCTTCATAGTCCAGGTGGACCCTGATTCTCCGGGGGGTTTCCTCCAGCACCAGCTGGGCGGGTAACCCGTGGAGCGCCGTGTACTGGCCATCCCAGCCCAGCCGCAGGGCCCAGATCTTGCCCAGGGCCATGCTGAGCGAGTCCTTCCTCTGCACGGACTCCAGGGCCACCCCCACGGCCCAGCTGTCCCCCCCCCCCACCTCCAGCTCCCAGTAATGCCTCCCAGCCGTGAACCCTTGGGAGCCCAGCACGCTGACGCTGCCCATGAATCTCTGGGGGGTGTCTATATCTGGGGGGAGGATCTGGAATCCCTTTGCCAGGCGCACGGTTCTGTGGTCTGCAGAGAGGATCAGGAAAGGATTCGCCGTCTCTGGGTCCAGAGTCACCTTCTCTAAGGGACGACAGAGAGAAAGGTCAGTCTGTGCTCGCTGAGGAGAGAACCAGCACCTCTCCCTCCCCTGCTCCTGGGGCACAGCGGGCACTCCTGCAGCCCCCTCGGGGGGCACAGGACACGGGAGCCTCCCTGCCCTCCCCTCTGGGACCCAGGGGTGAGGCAGGACTGAGCCACTGTCCCCACCTGCAGGGGACTTTGCTAAACCTGCTGGACATTGCTGGCTCCACAGCCAGGCTGGCGGTGGGGAGCAGTTATCCCGTGGGTGTCATCCAGGCAGGAGTGCTGCCAGGCCAGTCCCTGCTCCTGTGACGAGGCAGACAAGTGCTCACCGAAGGGAAAACCAGCTCCTAACGCTGCCCTGCCGAGTAACCAGGCAACCTCCCTCCAGAGCTGGAGCCGCCCATGCGTGTGGGATGTTCTGCTGCCATCCCGCGGCCATCCCACGAGGCCACACAGGTGTCACACGCAGTGTCACCACCCCGGGCCCTCTGCTAAACCCTGTCCTCTGGGGACACCGTGGGGGAAACTGAGGCACGACCGTCCTGTGCTCAAGTCCCTCACCCTGAAAACTGAGAGGGCACTTCTAAATGCCAGCTGAAAACACGTACAGCCCCTCTGCTCAACCGGTCACAGCAC